CCCCCCCCAACAGTTGAAATTAGAATATTACAAATATTTTTTTAAACACACTTCGGATACACAACGTATTGGTTAACCACAATTATAATTACATTTCATCCATAGTCTTATCACTGATAAGTTACCAAAAGTTTTATTAAAACATTGTTTCCCCCAATTGACTAAATATTTGTGTCGACTTACCCACAAATGTGACTAATTATTCACCAATTTATTAATGAATTACTAATAAAAATAAGTGATTATAAAATGTAATTAAATGTAAGAATAAATATATTTGACGTAAAGAATCGGGAATTAGTTATTAATAGTGATGTGTAGACACACGAGTGGTGTCTGTAATGTGTAGACAATCCCTATAAGAGTTGTATTATTGTTGTCGAGTAGAGTCTCGACAGTAGAGAGCATTCACTACAACACTATTATTGAATAAATGCTTTCAATGAGTATTAATTCACTATTGATTTGCCTTTAAATCCCATTTACAACAAACAATCAATTGTTTACTAATTATCTTCTATTGTCTCCATTGAAGACATTGATTGTCACATACATTGAGTCCAATGTCTCAATAGTGGACACACTCTTCAGTGTCTTAACAATCCGTTTGTTTTTCAAATTCAATACAAATTATAATCAAAAATATATTAAATTTTGTAAACATTTGCCACAAAATTATCTTAACTTAAACACCGGACCAAACCATGTCTTCAGACGATACCATCGATACTAACGTAAGTGATATGTCATGTCCTGATTCGGTGACCACAGCATCACATGTTGTCATTTGTATACAAATATATTGACCAGAATTTGACGAATATATCGACCAAAGAGGAGAAGGAAGAGGAGGAGAAGCTGAAGGCGAAGTACCCGCACGTCCAGAGACCCGGTCCTCAGTTTCTTCAGAAACGACTTCAAAAGGGGGTAAGAATTTGGACACAAAAATGTGTTTCAGTCAATCAATTGATCCGTTTGTCTTCTCCACAAAAATCCATAGCAAAAGTTCTTCGATTCGGGCGATTATAATATGGCAAAAGCGGCCGCCAAGACGTCTAACCGTTTGCCGCAATCGAAACTGTCGGCCGTTCACATACCGGAGCCGTCAGCGCCGGCGCCCATTCCCACCGGCGATACGATCCCAACGCCCGACTGTTTGGCCAACCGGAAGACATCGATTCACGTTCAGAGCAAACTAGTCTCCGGCGCCCCATAACACACACCCGCCCACCGATACCTCACTTATTGAGCGCCTCTTTTATGGAAACACGTGTTGTTTCCGGAAATATGAATTTTATTATTATTTCCCTATTTTTGTGTACAGTTTTACGGCTCAACTCTTTTTTGTTTTAATTTTTTTTTAAAATTTCAATTCAAAGTGAAGTTTAATTCAGTTTTTAATTGATTGAAAGTTTCACGTTTTGAAACCCACTTTACTTTTACTTTTATATTTCAGTTTCTGTTGAGAAATACTTATCGGAAAATCAAGTTTTAATTCTAACGAGAAGTTACTTTTTATTTATGCTTTTATTTCAAGAATTTTTGCCCCCTTTTTGTTATTTAAACGTATAATTGAATTGAATTAATAATATTATTAATAATAATAAACGAAAAGCCCTTTTGTGTGTAGTATTTGTTCGCAAATACAGCTAATCATCACTTGTTGTTAAACATGTTTTATAATACAAATGAAACCTTTTTGTGTCCAAAGCATTGATAATACAAAATATAGTTTTAATTCACTTTAAATATGTTTTTAAAATAATTATATTGAATGCCATTGTATTGATAGTAATGTGAGAGTAATGGACATAATGTTAGATTAAATTTAGTGCAAATCTGTGTAAATATATATCCGATTGACTGTAAATTCCTTGAAATTAATCGATGAATTTGTGTATCAATTGACGGCCGAAATGTCTTTATACTGAATATACAGTATTTATCAATAAATAGTGAACACAAAGAAAGTTAATTTAATCGACAAAACATTTTATTCAAACATTTTTGTGTTTAAATCGTTTATGGATTCAATAGACAATCATTTACAACAAAATATGTACACATTTACCACACTTTAAGACCTTTTGGCCTCATTTGTTGTGTCCATGGATTCATTGGTAGGCTTTCTATAATTCTTGGGTTTATTCCTGTGTTGTTTGGCTTTATTTGAATGTCTATTAAATCTATTTTTATCCGTCGATTGATTGAAAACATTGATGTCTTTGTGTTGAACTCCCGATGCGTTTGTGTCCAACGCGTCGACACTCAACAGGATATCAATTCGCGGTATTTTGCGGACAACTTTGAGTGCATCCAAACCGATGTCTTCTCTGGGTTTCCAATACTCTTCGACAGTCTTTTGACCAATTCTTGTCATTTGATACAAATGTGTCCGCATTTTGTGGTTAAACTTTCGCTTAAGAAGTTCGGCGCAAGTGATGGCCTTATGGCACGACTTGTCGCTCGCCGTCAACACTATCTGTCGGCTCTTCGGCCCCAAGTCTTCGGCGGTCAAGTGTCTCATCGAATAGTCCACTATATTCTTCGGGTTCGTCGCCGATCCCACTCTCAACTGATGCACATCTGGAGGACACGAGTCGCCGAAGACCACAGTGTCGTCCATCACTTCCACCACTTTATCCTTTATATAGTTATCCATTCATTCATTCATTCATTTCAATTCAAACTACAGTTTAATTCAACACAATAAATACCTGTCAATAAAACACACTTTCAATACATTTGTCATTAATTACGTTATAAACATTTGTGTTCCCCAATTGACACTTAAAATGATTATGATCAATTTTATATCAAAATAACTATTAATTAAATAGTCTATTTAAAACTTTTAATTATTTTACAATAATTTACTAATTGATTAATAATTGTTATATTGCGCTAAATTTTGTTTGTATGATATAATACATATACTTTAATATAAGGGATCATTGCATTGATGAAGATAAAAATGTATTTAATAATGTGAATAGTAATTTAGAAATTTCATATTGATTAATTAAATCAAATTTATTCATTAACTTTCAACTCAAGATTTATTTGGCAGTATTTGTGGACTTTTGTTACAATTATTGACTTAAATATGTAATAAAATAATACAAAAAGTGAAACAATATTTATATAAAATTGGGTTAAATAACCACTAATTGTGTGTATATTTTGCGGTCGAATAAAACAATCTAAATGTTGTATAAAATGCGATGAAAAATGGTGTGAAATAAATACATATTAAATGATTTCAAAGTGATTGTTGAATGGTTTATGTCTTCTCAGATCAGGACTTTCTGGAAGAAAAGCCGGATTATTGAATGCTATGGATTGGAAGGGGAGGTTCGGGAATGTCTTATTGAGGAGTTGGCAGTTGTGTTGATTGCATCGATTCCAGCCATCAGTGGACGGATCGCTGATAATTGAGATTTGATTTGTGTATTCGTTTGAAAGACTTTCAAAGTTTGGACTAAAGTCGTGAGACATTATGTCTGGACCGGGATTTGCGATAAAAGCGGTGAATCCGAGCGCATCTAATTTCCTGATCCGATTCATTTCCACCAAACATAACCCTATGATCAACACATTCACCACAAGAACAGTCACTTCCAGCCAAAAACTCCAACCGTTTCTTATGTCATAGTTTTCTACGGGAGAGTTATTGAATATTAACTGTTCCCGAGAAGCGGATGTCTGTATTGTCATCAAAAGCAGTGTTAAAGTGGATAAAAACACTGTAAAAGCATTTAAAATATTAGTAAATTCTATGGACAACTATATTATGATTTCGTTGATTACCTGCAAATGTAATTAACAAAAGCTTAAGTTTGTTAACAGTTTTGGTATCGATTATAAAGTTTGGTTTATTTCGTCGGATTTGTTGTAATCTAATGGCAATGAATGGGAGGAATAGACCCAAAACGATGGTATGTATGGACGCGACGGCGCCTGCAATCATCATATGATGCGGTGGTTTGAAGAATGTGTCCAAAGGGTCGCAATCGTCGCGATATACCGGGGCTTTAACAGAGCACAGACCCCACAGACCATAGTGTCCCACCTCTTCTGGCAATCCTATTAATAACATGAAATGTCAATACAAACTCAATAATGTTATCAATAAATTAATACCTAGATCAGATTTAGCATCAAAATATGCCCAGTAATCGGCAAATAAGGCAATCAATTGGAGACTAAAACTTATGAACCAAAAGATTATTTGAGTGAAAGGGCTGATGAAGATTAGGTTCATTGCTATCTTCGCACACAAATCTCTATCGCATTAATTGATTGTCGTTTTGTATCACATTTTTCTCCATTTAAATCTATTTATTGAAGAAATTTAATAATAGGGATGAAAACCTATGAGTGATTAATGCATCCATTTCTTGATGTCAAGCACTCAAAAGCCCTAACATTCATATGAATACCACTTGTGTTGGGGTAACGAAGAGTGCATTCGTAATACAGTGAGACGACTTGTTTACCTTTATTTACCTGTTTTTTGCATTGGAAACCTGTGTTTGTGACAAAACACAACCTCTAACTCCATGGCTATCACTATTTTCTAGCCATACCTACTAAACAAGTGGTTTCTCCGCAAACCTATGGAAGAGAATACAAATTTCCGGATAATTGAGAAGTTTGTTTCAAAACTCTGAACAAACCCTACTTTTTTGTTATTGTTAATCTCATAAGTGCTTAATTATTTGCATTATAAGTGCTTTTGTATAATTAATTCAAATTAACCTTTAATTAAAACATTTACAATTCAAATGATTTAATGACTCGACAAATCTTTTTTCCATTTAATTATATTTGATTAAATTTACCATAATATAGATGTTTATAAAGTTATAAACTTGATTATTATATGATAAGTTCCGTTATCTATAACTTGTGTACTGTCTATCTTAACAGTTTAATTATTGTGGGATAAGTTGTCTGTTGTAACCGTTATGTTCATTTAATTTATTGCCCTAATTGTAAGAAATATAACTAAATAAAT